CTCACTCTCTCCTCAGGACATAGAGAGTCCACACTTCACCTCAACTTGGCCGACATTTCGGTCACCGCAGCCAAGCCCAGGAAAGTCTCATGACACGAGATGGAAACACCACCACCTCTCCCCGCCCGAGACTGCTTGATGCTCATCCCTGGTCGTGGGAAGGTGAGCATCTCCTCCTGGCCTGCTCTCGGGATGTATTTCCTTTCTCTAGGGATGTTCCACATAATCTTGCACACATCCAAGTTTTTACAGATTTGTTTCATGAATCTACACATATTATTAGTATTCTTCAAAATGATATCACAAGTCAGATTAATTTGTAACTAAGGATTTGATAAGGTAACTCTCGCTCAATTATTTGGCTTTCCAAAATACTCGTTTAACGAATACTTAAGATTTATTTATTTATGCACACAAGAGCTGGGGTACAGGCCGTAGATGCCAGGGTTGAAAGGATTCACCAGAGACAGAGCAGGGAACAGAACAGGCCAAATGACAAAATAAACTGCTGAGGGGCGCAGCAGGCCAGTCAGGAGAGATCTGAGGCACATGTCAGTCAGCTCCCTGGCCTGCTGGGAATCCAACTTGTGTACAGTGGCTGGCAGTAGTTTGAGAGCACTGTGTTTAACCCCTGGGCCACCAGGGAGGCCCCTTACCTTTAGTTTGAGGTCAGAAGTGTGACTCCTTCATTTCCCCCCACTTTTAATCAGGAAAGCTTTGGTTATTTGGGGTCTTTTGTGTTTCCATATGAACCTCAGTAATCTTTGTTCTATTCCTCTGAAGAATACCATTGGGATATTTATTGGGGTTGCAGTGAATCTAGAGGGGGCTTTGGGTTGGATGGCCCTCTGGACAATGTTGATTCTTCCAACCCATGAGCTGGGTCTCTCTTTCCATTTCTCTATGCTTTCTATTATTTTTTTCCACAATGTTTGATAGTTTTCCTTGTAAAAGTCTTTCACCTCCTCTGTTAAATTTATTCCCAGTTATTTTTTTTGCGTGTGCAATTGCAGGTGGAATGGCTTTGTTAATTTCCTCTTCCAGTTCATTATTTGTACTTAGGAAGGCATATGTTTTTCAATGCAGAGTTTGGTGGCATTACATACACTCACTCTGTCGTGTAACTCTTATTTCTGAAACCAGGGTGTCCCAAAGGCTTACATACATCCCCAAAATAGACCTGCGTTCTTTCTGCTCATTGCTTAACCCTTTGCACTCCGATGTCCGATGTCCCCTCTTAGGGGACATCGCAATTTATTAGTGATTACGGGGAATTGAGTTATTTCAACACAACTTTTTGAGACATGCATGTTTCCCTGAAGTTTTATCTTGAAAGGGCACATGAAATTAAATCAAAATATCATAAAATTACTAAGATATATACAAGAAATGTCAGCGGGTTTTGTGTCGGACGAGAACGTGAGATGCATGCTCACAACAGTCCGAGCACTTCATGACGCCACTTGACAAGAGCGATAAGGGGATTTTGTAGAAGAAAGGTTGATTTTCGAACATAGCGTGCACTGTACAGTGAGATATATAATTACAAATAAACAAGTCTACATCTGGAGGAAAAGATTTTCAAAGCTGAGCTCATTTTGGTTTGAAGCTTCGAGCAGTGCACATAGATGTAACGAGGAGAAAATCGGAAAACTGATTATTTTCTTAGTGAATAAATTGTTTGGTGAAAGCGTTTTTGGTAAATATCATCTTGTCAGTCAGTAATAACAATTAGAAATTTTCAATCCATGCATTTATTCATATTTTTCATTAGAACAATGGCAAAGTGTCCAACCACGAATGAGTCTCATGACACAAGTAGTAGTAAAGATGAGCTCCACTAATCAGCCTGCAATGCATATTGGGGAGTGTTACAAAACTTATCACACTGTACAAAATTATAAACAATAAAATATTGTTTTTTTTTTTTGCAAATATACATTCCTCGATGTCACCCAATTCATATATGTCCAATATCATTATAATATGTTACTTGGTTCCAAAATTATACTAAATAATACGAGGGTCTGTAAATGCACGTTTCCGCAGCAAAGTAGCATCGAGTAGCTGGTAGCCAATGTCCAGAATGGTTCGGAGAGCAAAGGGTTAAAAGTCAAACTATTCTTTGTTTTCTAGCCTGGCTACATTACCAAGAAGAACATGTTCTTCCCGAGCAGTTCTGCTTCTCCAGAGAAAGAGAACCTTGCAGCCCAAGACCGGCCTTCCACCTCGGTATCTTATGGGTACATTCCCTTTCATCCAGGGGATGAACATAGGGGTGGGGGCGACCAAGGGAAATGGCACAGACCTGCAAGTAGCACACACCTCTTGTCCCCATATCCAAAGGATAAGCGCCCAACGCAAGAGTGGACCCATAGCCTCTCTGCTCTGTAGGCCTCAGACCGTGAAGCTGTCCACAGCCACTGCAGCAAGAGCTCCATGCCCAGCCAGGGAGCTGACCCACAGGGCGCAGCACCTCTCCTGTCTCCCCGCGGCTCCCCTCAGCAGTGGATTTCAATGGATCTGCCTGTTCTGCTCCCCACTCGTCTCTGGGGAGTGCTCCCCCACCCTGGTCCACTCCCTGTCCCTGGAGCTCAGGGCTCCTGTAGTGTCCTCACCGCTGGAGCGTGGACAGTGTCTCTGGGCTGTGCTGATGCTGCACGTCCTGACCCCGGGATGCGGCTGAGCTGGGCAAGGTCCCCACGGAGCACGGTGGAGGCCTCTCCTGGGCCTCCGCCGACAGCATCACCACCCACCTGGGCCGCCCACCCATCTGCAGAGGCCTCACCCACCACACCCCTGGACGCCCCAACATACCTGCAGGGGGGCGTGACACGAGTCCCCTGAACCCCTCACCTTAAGAGCAGAGAGTGACCCTTGCTGCAACAGCCCACATGGGTCACGTCACAGCAACAGACACTTCCAGGGAACGTGGCACTAGCAGAGGAGTGTTGTTTTAGCAAACCCTGCAGGCCTCTTTGGACCAGGTCTGAGGTGAAGGCTGAGGGGCCCGATGCCATGTTTAAAGGGTGCTCAAGGACACGTAGGAGCCTGCAGCATCATGGAAAGTGGCCTGCGGACTAGGGGTGAAAATCTCAGCGGCCTCCCACGGCGCGTTGAGGAATATGGCCCGTGGCCCCGACACTCCAGGTGGAGTTTGAAGGGACCAATGTACCCCCCCTGAATCAGGGAGGATGCTCTCAGGGGACAGACACCCCGTCAGTCACCAACCTCGAAACAAAGGACAGGGGCTCTGGCCGTAGAGATGTTCCTGACGTAGAAAGCTGAATAGAGGGTGCAGGCAGGGAGGAGCAGGCGCCCAAGTCCCAAATACATGATCAGAGAAACAATCCCCAATGGATGGGCCCTGAGGCCAGCCCCACAGAGAGGATGCCGAGGAGCCTACACAGGGCACGACTGCAAATCCACAGACTGAGGCTAGGTGTGGACATGCAGGCGAGTAACGGGGGTAAACTCAGCGGGCCTCAGAGCCTCGGAAGAGCCCTCAGGCCAAGCCCTTCAGCAAGAGACACACCGCAGAGACCCCCACGACCAGCACCCGCTCCCTACCCGCCACAGCCATGGGAGCCCCTGCTTCTTGGCCCCAGCGGCCACCCCTCGGGACCGTTCTGCTCAGGGAGCTTTCTTGTCCTTACTCCTGTGAGTAAATATCTGGCTCTTCTGGAACTCTGGGCTCCACTTGGAAGTACTTTCGTACCAAAGACAAGAAATGAGGAAGAGCACACCCCAGGCCTCAGACTCCGGGCCTGCTGCACAAACTCTCTGCTCAGTATCACCACGGATCCAAAGAAACACACCAGAAGGTGCCCGGGGTCCCTGAGGGGGGAGTGGTAGCGAGAGTTACATCAAGGAATTCCTCGGCCACCACCTTCCACACCGACCACTCACCCCAAGGTATGAACTGACTCAGACAAAGACCACATTCAGGGCACGGCCAGCAATGGCAGTAGGGATTATATTCTGAACAAAGAGTGAAGGAAAAAGACCTGGATTACATCATCACCTCCAGGAGGAATACAGGGGGACGAAGAAAGGTTCAGGGGAAAAAGACAAAACTAGCAGGCAGATGACAGAGCTGAGACGCCAGCAGGAGATGGGGCAGAAGAGGGGCCAGGAGGGGAGGAGGAGCACCAGGGCCTGGGGTGATGGGTCACAGGGGCGGTGCGGACAGGACATTTGCAAGAATTATACAGAAGGGGAGCAATCCAATATTGCACAAATATGAACAATAATTTAATAAAAAAAATTTAACAGGCAAGAATCCTTTCCTTTAAAAAAATTTCAGGGTCCTCTGTTGGTGCAGGGGTGAAGTCTCAGCACTATGAAGCTGTTCTCAGTACTGCAGACACGAGTTTGATCCCTGGCCAGGGAGGTGACCCACGGACACAGTAGACCTCTCCTGTGTCTCCACTGCCCCCTCAGCAGTGGATTTCAGTAGATCTGCCTGTTGTGCACCCCAATCTCTCTGTGGAGAATCCTCTCACCCCCACATACCTCCGGATTGCACCCCAGATCTTGTATGCAGAATTAATCTTCCAACAAAATCCCCTTATTCTGTAGAACTGGGGTGTAGACCAGAGGCTCGGGGGTGAGAGGATTCACCAGATACTGAGTGTGGTGACAAACAGGCAGAACCACTGAAATACCTGGCTAACGGGAGCAGCAGGTGACACAGGAGAGGCCTGCTGTGGCCATATGTGGGGCAGCTCCCTAGCTAGGGCTGGAACCCTGGCCAGAGCAGGCAATAGCGCTGAGACTTAACCCCGAGGCCACCAGGGAGGCCCTGAAAAACCATCATGAAAGGTAGGTAAAGATACCTGCAGACCTCAACCTATAGCCGAGAGCACACAGTTCAACATTTCCTTCTAGAGGAGGACATTTTGGTGGTGAGCAATTCCAGCATTGGGGGGCACCACAGAGACTTAGAGTACTGGACAGAACGTGACGACTAAGTTAGAAAACCCAGAGAGATCACTTACCCACGCAACATGCAGTGTGCCATGTAGACAGACAGCTGCTGTGGAAAGGCATAGCATCGCCCAGGAACTTAAGAGGATACTAGAAGCAACAGCAACAGGAACAGCAACATCATCACTGCATGAACTTGGGAGAACAGAGTGAACCAGGTAACTCCACGCAATTAAGATTGAAACTGTATGTCAGTTCCCATTGCTCTCAGCTGCATGATGTGGTTTGAACTCCTAAGTTTGAATATTTTTTAAAAGATTTTTATTTATTCAAGCATACAAGAACCAGGGTACAGGCCAGATGTGTGGGAGGGTGAGAGGATGCACCAGAGACAGAGCGGGGAACAGAACAGGCAGACTGACCGAAATACACTGCTGAAATACACGCAGCGGGCAAGACAGGAGAGGTCTGCCGCACCATGGGGTTGCTCCTGGCTGGCCAGGGAATCAAACTCCCACCAAAAAGGCCACGGACAGCTTCAAAGCACTGCGCTCAACCACCTGCACCACCAGGGGAGGCCTGCCTGCACACTCTTGACATTCATAGCATTTCACTCCAGTGTGGAGTTTGTCATGCCTAGTGAGGGCTGACTTCCTGAAAAGTTTTCCCACATTCTTCACAATCATAGGGATTTTGTCCAGTGACATCTCTGATGTCCAGTGAGAGCTTGCTTACTGGAAAGTTTTCCCACACTCTTGACACTCATAAGGCTTCTCTCCACTGTGACTTCTCTGATGTTTACTCAGGGATGATTTCTGGCAGAAAGTCTTCCCACATTCTTGACACTCATAGGATTTCTCTCCACTATGAATTCTCTGATGTGTAATGAGGTGTGGCTTACTAGAAAAAGCTTTCCCACACCCTTCACAATCAAAGGGTTTCTCTCCAGTGTGAATTCTCTGATGTTTACTGAGGGATGATTTCCAGAGGAAAGTCTTCCTACACTCTTGACATTCGTAAGGCTTCTCTCCAGTGTGAATTCTCTGATGCTCACTGAGGTAACACTTACTGGAAAAAGCTTTCCCACACCCTTCACATTCATAGGTTTTCTCTCCAGTGTGAATTATCTGATGGTGACTGAGGGATGATTTCCAGAGGAAAGTCTTCCTACACTTTTGACATTCATAAGACTTCTCTCCAGTGTGACTTCTCTGATGGAGACTGAGGGATGACTTACTAGAAAAAGCTTTCCCACACTCATCACAATAATAGGGTTTCTCTCCAGTGTGACTTCTCTGATGTTTATTGAGGGATGATTTCCATTGAAAAGTCTTACTACACTCTTGACATTCATAAGGCTTCTCTCCAGTGTGAATTCTCTTATGCTCACTGAGGTAACACTTACTGGAAAAACCTTTCCCATACCCTTCACATTCATAGCATTTCTCTCCAGTGTGAGTCCTCTCATGTAGGACAAGAAGTGACTTACGGGAGAACACTTTCCTGCACGCCTGACATTCATAGGATTTCTCCTTTGTATGAGTTCTCTGATGGACACTAAAAGCAGGTTTCCGCCTGAAAGTTTTCTTACACACCTGACACGGGTAGCGCTTCACTCCCGTTTGAGACTGTGGATGTAAAGTGAGGGCAGTCTTCCATGAGTAAGTTTTCACGTAATCATTAGAGCCAAACAACTTCACTGCAGTGAGATTTCTCTGGTATCCCCTCTGTAAGGAAATCTCAGCGGTGCCCCCACACTCATCAGGTTGATCGTCTGCTTGTGTTTTCTGATGTTCAGTCAGAACAGAGGTTTTAGAGGCCGCTTCACCATATCTCTTATATCCCAAATTATTCTTTCCTAACTGGATACTCTCACACGGATAGGCGTGAAATGTGTTTCTGAGACTGGCCCCACTTTCACAACATTTCTGCTGCTCATGTTCAACATACCTAGGAGGATTCAAATGCACTGGAGTCATCTCCACAGCTCTCCCCTTTTCATTACAACTGCAAGGAGTCTGTCCTCCTTGGGTTTTGTCTCGGACAACGAAAGCTACCTCATCACGGGTGTCCCTGCACTCATTGCATTTACGGGCAATCCCTTCCAGAAGGGCTCCTCTAGGTGTAAATACTGTTTCTTCACTCACAACTTTTCCTTGTTCACGAAATTCAAAAGGCTGTTGAAAGTTCTGAATCACCTGGTGACTAAGGTGCTCAGGATACTTGATGGGTTCCCTCATTCTACTAAAGACCTCCTCGTTCTCTCCAGCATGCCCTTCATGAGGCTAACCAGGGATCATCATGGTCCTATGTATAGTAAAGTTCTTAGGCATCATCGCTGAATTCTTTTCATTTTTGATACTATGGTTCAAACAATGACTTGAGTGCAAATTGCTTTTTTCCATTAAGTCAGTTCTCTCGTTGGATGGAATTTTGCTGCTGTTGGTAAGAACTTGCCACACATGTCTGCCCTGATTTGCAGGGCTGTCCTGAGTCAGGTGATCCACATTATGGACATCTAAAGTGAGATAAAAATGACCATGTCTCTAAAAAGTAAGCATTCTGAGTGAATACTACTAAGCGGCACAGAAGTTCCTATATTACAACATAATTTACAGGTATTGATTTTCTGATTCATGCTTTTTGCCTGTAGTAAATTATGGGGAGAATAGATTTTTGGTATTTTTTACTTTAGCATAGGAGATCTGGGGTGTAGGCCAGAGGTGCAGGAGTGGGGGTGCAGTAGGGGAGCGTGCTGTAGGGGAGTGTGTTGATCAGAACAGGCGGACTGAATGAAATACACTGTTGAGGGGAGTTGCGGGTAAGAAAGGAGAGGTTTGCTGTGCCAAAGTCGGTGAACTCCTTCACTGTGGATCAAACTCAGGCCATTATAGTGACAGCTAAGAGACTTAATCCCTAGGCCTCCAGGGAGGCCCCAATTAACAGATTTTCTAATGCCAAACCAGGATAACAAAGCAGTAAATCTAATTTCACAATGGTTTTATAAAATCATAAATATTTGGTAAATATAGTCTTTTAACTAGAGTTGTCGATTTCAACCAGAAGCATTTCACCCAACATAGATCCTACACACTTTCTTTCTTAGACTGACCTTGTGCAACTCTTGAGGGTACTTTCTGAATTACCAAGCCCTGCAGAGGCCATGACTTTCCCAGAAACCTGTGGACTGAGAGACCCAGTCATTGCCCAGGCACTTTAAGCAAGAGGCCTGCTGAGACTCAAGGACTCTGCTTCTCCATTTCCTTAGTTCTTCTTTCGACTCTGGCCTGGGCCACGGTCACAGTCACCGGCAGAGGTTCTCAGAGGCATGTGCTTCCCTCCACGGAAGAGACCAGTCAGTTCATATTTAAATATATCACATAAGGCTCAGAATCCTAATACTTGCAGCAAACTCCACCTCATAATTGTGTCCCACATTCCTGCTAAGCGATAGGAAAAAAGTTCTGCATACATCCTGTGCTATCAGCGTTAAAGTCTTTTCTCACATCCTTCTGAGAGCAACACCCTGGTGTTCTCAATGCACTCCCTGAAACCTGTGTTTCTGCTTTGTTCATAGCAGCTCCAGTTTCTATGTCGTGTGTGACTCTCAGCTACATCACACTGTCGTCGATTCCTTTACTTTCCGCCCAACGATTCCCACGAGAAGGTGGAATTGCACAGGTCACACTGCTCCTCAAGGTATGAGCCCCCAACCTGAAACTCTTGGTGCCATGGCTTTAGAAACCACCACCTCAGGTTCCCCCTCCCATGTCACAGAACATCCCTTCCAATGCTGAACAATTCTGGGTCCTCCTCAGCCTCACAATTACTATGAGGGTGGTCACAAGGCTTGCCCCTGAAACACTACTCATGTTCTAAATAACTCTCCACTCAACGCCTCTCTATCCTTTTTGAGTTAGTCACCAGCTCAGTGACATCTCCAGTAGCAATACATAGACTCTATCCCAGACTGCAGAGGAAACTATAGATATGACATGTCAGTGCAACCCATTCACCTCACCTGAGCTCTGAAAGAAAAGAATTAATCTCTGTAATGATGCGTATGGAGCACACACAAAAACAACATCCTCCACTTTGTTTCACTCATGCTGGTCAAAGATCCTCTGTGGCTTTACCTCTCTATTAATAAATGTATTTATTACATATTCTTTCCTCACAGAGTATATAACTTTAGAATGTAAAGATCATTTCTGTGAGTACTGTTGCTCTCCCCTCTCATAGAAAATTTACCACTGGCTAAACTTCCCATGAACACACAGAATAAAAAATTCCTGAACAGGTACCTAAAGAAAACAGTCTATGAGAATACACTAAGAGAGAGAATAGAGATATGTGATTACTGCAGAATCATCCCCATGTGTCAGAGACTGCATACTGGTTTAAGAACATAGACAACCATTATTAAAAGAGCAGGACAAAATTCACAAGAGAGTATTATTTGGAAACTGAATAAAGAATCAGTTTGATATATGCAGACACACTCTCCAAGATTGGACACTGGAAAAGCACCTCAGTGTGGCCAATATCACTGGCCACACTCCCAGTCTCCTCTCAGGCTCCCGACCTGGCAAGCACTGACTAACCTGAGAGGTCCTGTTTGGGGGATTGTCCACAGTCCACGGCTGTAATCCCTGCTCCGACCTGATGCTCTCCTCAGGATCGGTAACACAGTGCCCTGTGATGAGAAACAGTGTTGGTCTTCAATCAAGTTCAACTTCAGTCTTTGAAAACTAACAAAAGCAAAGTGAAGAGTGTGCAAAAGAGGCCAATCTGAATCTTTCCAAACGAAAACCGAAACACCCACAATGCACACTGCCTGCCATGTTCAACCTCACCAACACTCAGTTTCATAAGCAAGCGCACACTTATCCGTGCAGAAGACAGCATTGCACTAGAGTGTTACACTGGAGCTTCCTCACCTAGGGACACCAGGTGATTGCAGGTCTCCAGCATCACATCCCGGTACAGGGTCCTCTGAGCTTCAGTCAGGTACCGCCACTCCTGCCACGTGAAGTTCACAGCCACATCTTCAAAGGACACCGTCCCTTCTGAGGGAACATTTCTCATCTCAGGGCCGCGAGCCTGGGTCAGACAGAGCAAGTGCAAACACATCTTATTTTGTGGGTCTTCGGTCCTGTATAGAATTCGTAGTTGAAAGAGCCTCGCCTCTACATTCACCCCTTTGGTCCTACAAGTAGAACTATAGCTTACCTTATATATTTGGAAGTGTCTATGATTCTAAGAATAAAAGGATGAATAAAATTGGCTCCTTGAGGAGCTGATAGCCTGGCTGGCAGTTGTAACAGACATATATCCGGACTCATGTGCTAAAAGAGCTTCATAACAAATGAAAAACATGTGCAACTTTGTGCCAATATTTTACTCCCGTGACCTCAAAGCCTGGTATCTCAAACTCACAGTAAACAAAAACTGAACCCGAAACGAGGATGTTCAAGCAATGAGGTGGGAAAAAGCAAAGGTAAGAGATGTTCAACTACAAGCAAGTATAAAACAGAGATGCACTATGGGGGGTGGAGGGATTAGGGTTAAAATAAGGAGGGTGGGATGTATGGGGACTATAACCAAGATGAAAATGCATAACTCATGCAGAAATAAAAAATGATGTAAAATACATATAAAGTAAAATTTTAAGAAAAGATGTTCAGCTGACAAAGTCAGAAGAAGACAGAACAGGTCATCACTTCTGAAATGGAAGGACAAAGGGGAGGAGAACTTGGTAATAACTTGGTGGCTGAGGTACGAGGAATGTTTTCCTAATATGCTGTCCACATGATGGGCTGGTAGACACTGGAATTCCACACGCAACTGGACATGTGTCTGATAGATCAGGAAGTCTAAGCTGAAAACAGAAATTTGGTTATCAGGGCCTCCCTGGTGGCACAAGAGTTTAAGTCTCAGCACTATGAAGCTATCGGCAGCTGCTGCAGCACGAATTCGATCCCCAACCAGGGAGCTATCCACAAGGCGCAGCAGATATCTCCTATCTCCCCACTGCTCCCCTCAGCAGTGTATTTCAGTCAGTCTGCCTGTTCTGTTCCCCGCTCTGTCTCTGGTGAATCCTCTCACCCCCTGCACCTGTGGCCTACACCCGAGCATTTATATGCATACATAAAATAAATATTAAAGAAAAGAAAGAATTTGGGAATCTCCAGGATATTATTGATAGTTTTCATCACCGTAGGGGAGAACACGGTGACCAGAACAAAAGGTATCGAAAGAAGAGGAAAAACAACTAGAAGAGACAAATATTTCTTTTGGAGAAAGAAATGAAAGAGTTTTGAAAAATAAGACACACGGTATAAGAAAACAAACATCTTAAGAAATCCGTAAATTTATTCCATCTTTTCCTTTCCTGTGTAGTAAATCCTGTGCACCTCTACATACATATAGAATAGGAACCCATTACAATAAATTTCCATATATTAGCTAAAAAAGGATTCAGAGGATTTTTCCTTAACACAAAACAAGTCCTTGACAGCCACAGGCGACATCAACATTCCCAGTGAGAGAAGGACTAACAAAGACGCTCAGTGTCCCCTAATCACAATGGGTTTGGGTGACGCTACGTAACAACAACAAAAAGACAACATACATAAAAATGGTCCTAACTAGTTATAATTCATTCTTGGAAAACTAATGAAAGCCACAGTAAAGCGACTCTGGAAAGGAAAACCCAGTGAGCAGACTATGAGTATAACACACACCCGTGTTCACACACACAGGAGCTCCTGTACGCTGCCAGTGAAATGACAAAACAGTAAGCAACGCATGTAGCGGAACCAAGGGCAGAGACTCGCTGGGATAAAGAAACCCGGAGGGTTAAACAATGAATTAAACAAATGCAAAGACACAACAGCATCCAGGACACGATGAGCCTGCTGCACTGACAGCAACTCTCGCAAGGTAACCCGGCACATCCCAGTTCTAGGAAAACAAAAATGCATTTATTTACAGGCTCATTGATTAAAACACTAATACGAGAAATAAAACAACAGCAGAGAGATGGTGGATGGCTCATTTCTGCACAGAGAAACTCACAGGGACCTCCGGCAGGCGTGGGCTTCAGGATGCCATAAAAGGACCGTATGACGAAATGGGACAATACAATCCCCTCGCACTTTCGACCCTGTTCAAAATGGAAATGTGCAGCCATGAGTAAAGGACTGGAATACACAGCTCTGCAAATCACATACCCAAGCGGGTCCTAAAACATGAACGTGCTCAATACGATCAGTCACGAAGGAAAAATGAATCAGAAGTACAAGAGATGAGATTTTACATCTGCTGGGATCGCAATGATTTAAAAAGAAAGAAAATAACAAGTACTGGCAAAAATTGGGACCTGGCTCCCTTGCGCACTGTTGGGGCAAACATAAATGATGCAGCCAGGAGGGAAGACAGGAAGGTGATTCTTGGGAAAAGGGAACTCAGAATGACAGGAGGACCCAACCCCACCTCGGGGTGTTCACCAATAGTAGGGAGAGCAGGAACAGGCAGAGATGTTTGCTCACCTACTGTCACTGCACCACCATTCATTACAGCCCAAAGCAAAATCAACCCAAGCCCCAGGTGATGGATTAATGGATAAATAAGACTGGAAAATACACATAAGAGATTATTAATGAGCCTCACAATGGAACTAAACAATGACACACACTACAATATGAATGCACTCCTGTACTATACCTATGAAATGACAAAACAGTTAACAATGCAATAAAATAAGAGATTCACCAAGAAAACAAGGTGTAATAAGACTCCATTCATACAGGTCTGAGTTGTCAAACTCTTGAAAACAGAAAGTAAATGGTGGACACAGGGGCTGAGGGACAGAGCAGTTGGGAGCAAGAGTTTAATGAGTACAGTATTTTATTACTGGGAAAAGAAAAAATCTGGAAGGTGGTGATGGCTGTATAACACTGGCAGATACTAAAAGCCAAAGAACACCACATGCAATAACAGCGAAAGGAGACTTTTTATTTTACATTTAAATAAAGGGTCAGGGGCTTTCCTGGTGGCTCAAAGGTAAAGACACTACCTATGGAGCTGTACCGCATCCACAGCAGCACGAGTTCAATCCCCAGCCAGACAGCTACACACATGGCATGGCAGACCTCTCCTGACTCGCCCACTGCTCCCCTCAGCAGTGTATTTCAATAGATTTGCCTGTTCTGCTCCCCACTCTGTCTCTGGAGAATCCTCCCCCCTCCCACACCTCTGGCCCATACCCCAGTTTTTGTATGCATAAATAAGTTCATCTTTTAAAATATGAATGAATGAATGAATAAATGGAGGGCCACGTTTTCTAGGAAAAGGAGAAAAAGAAGCAACAGTCATGCTGGGCAGAAGAGCAGCCACTGCTGCTCCCCACATTTGTACAAAGGTTTATAAAATGAAACACTTGCATGGTCACAGGTGACAGAAGAGCTGGTAAAATTAGGTTGCAAAATATATTCATTCCATCAATATTCTATAAACATCTATCAAAATTAAAAAAAATCTACCATTAACCGTAACTTCAGCAAGAATCATACGTATGACAAATGCAAACACACCAACTATACTCCAGACTCGATGACAGAAACATGAAGCTCTTTATTAAAAACTACATTGAGCATCACAGACATAAACTCCCAACCACCAAAGGTCAAATGATGAAAATGTGTGCTACCTGGTTTTACTCAGCGAGTGTCTGTGTCATGACCCTTGTTCAAACGTGTCCCACTGACCCCTGAGTACTTTCTCCCCCTGAACTCTGAGGTGTCACCACACCCTGGCCAGTTGGAGGCAGAAAAGGGAGCAACCTCATCACTGAGAAAACACATCCATCAGGTTTGGCCAAGAGTGAGAACTGTAATGTGAAAGAAAGTGAACACATGCACACACGTACGCACGCACGCATGGCGGTGCTGTTGTTAGCAACCATTAAGATATCAGGTAATATTGAAGAGTAACTTGCATTGGGTGAGACTAAACTCTGGAACAGAGAAATTCCTTTCTGTTGGCGGGAGACCTGGGCTGAGAAGGATCTAATTCCACACGGGAGGGCACAACACAGGACGAGGTTTGCATGTTGCATGAGCGGCAGGTGCCATCAGGACGGCTACAGGTGCAGTCAGGTGGGAGCCGAGCCTGTGGCAGTAGGACTGGGCAGAGGCCCACGCTCAAGTGTAACTGGCAGAAATGGCAAAACACAGTTGACTGACTCACTCAGGAGAAGTGCAGACTGAAGACGGGAGACCAGATCGGAACACAGGGACTAGCTACATTCAGAAGCACAAGATACTCAAGCATTCAGGGACACAGAAAAAAAATCATCAGAGAGACCATGACAGAAGCAAACACAAAGAAATATGCATCTTCCAAAACACCGAAGACAGAGGAAAACTCACCAACACATGCGACGAGGTCAACATTGCCCTGATCCCCCCCAAAGGAAGACAGCATAAAAGGGAAAAATAGACCACCACCACCAAAGAACAGAGAAGCGATAATCCTCAACAAATTCCAACCGACTTAATACAGCAACATGGAGTCTCCCTGGTGAAGCAAGGAGTTAAGGCAAAGCACTATGAAGCTATCCACAGCCCCTGCAGCATGAGTTCCATCCCCAGTCAGGGAACTCACCCACACGGCACACCTGACCTCTCCTGTCTCCTTGCTGTTCCCCTTAGTAGTGTATTTCACCAGATCTGCCTGTTTTGTTCCCCACTCTGTCTCTGGTCAATCCTCTCACCCACCACATGTCTGGCCTGTACCCCAGCTCTTATATGGATAAATAAATCAATCTATAAAATTCCAAATGGATTAAATATTTGGTGAAGTACTTGACAGAAAATATAGGGACACACTATGGACAGTTGCCCCAAAGTGCACTAGGGAACACAACCCCAACACCCAGGGAAACAAAAGCAAAAATCAACAAGTGGGACACCACTAAACCTAAAAGCTTTCATACCTTAAAAGAAACCAGCCCAAAACCTGAAAGGCAGTCTACAGAACAAAGAAAGAATCTGCATGCCACACATATGACAAGGGGTTCATTCCAAAATTTATAATATCCCCAAACAATGCGGGAAACCAACTGATGACTCAACTAAAAATGAACAAAGGGGGCCTCCCTGGTGACACAAGGGGTTGGGATGCAGCCTATGAAGCTCTTCACAGCCTCTGCAGCGAGAGTTTGATCCCTGGCCGGCAGGGAGCAACCCGCATTGCGCAGCAGACCTCTCATGACTCCCCACTGCTCCCTCATCAGTGTGTTTCAGTAAGTCTGCCTGTTCTGCTCCCCACTCTGTCTCTGGCGAATCCTCTCACCCTCTGCACCTCTCGCATGTACCCCAGTTCTTGTATGCATAAATGAATAAATCTTAATTAAAAAATGGACAAAGGAACTATATACACTCTTCTCTAGAGAGGGAATTCTGACATCCTACAGACAATTGGAATGTTCACCTTAACTTATTTTAAGAGAAATGTAAATTAAAAGCACACTTAGATGCCACCTCACACCTTGAGAAGGCCCAAATGAAAACGAATGGATTTATACAAAATGGGGAGTGAGGGGTGAGAATTTTATGGGGACTACAACGAAGATGTAAATGATTACACTGTGCAAAAATTAAAATGATGTAAAAATATGTAAAATAGTATTTAAAAAAGTGAAACACTAAAAAAAAAACAAATATGGAATGAACAACGCTGGAGAGGGCACAGAGAAAAGGGAGCTCTCACCCACGGCTGGTGGCCATGACAGTCAGAACAGACCCTGTGGATGAGGGTGCAGAGGTTTCTTAAAGAAATAAAAACGGAAATTCCATGTCATCTGCAATACTTCTACACACTATCCTCACGGGAAAACTCAAACACAAAAAGATTTATCCCGCCCATGAGCAGAGCAGCTCTGTTCCCAACTGCTCAGTCATGGCCCAATCTACATCCCTTCAGCAGGGGCGGGAAGGGTGAGGCACACGCAGGGGAGCACTGCAGGGCTGTGAGGAAGGAGCAAAGGGTCACACTGAGGCTAAAATGGGTCGGCAAGAAGGTGACAGTCTGTTTCTCTTTTTTAAAAAGGCTTATTTATTCATACATACTGGAGCTGGGATACAGGCCAGAGGTGCAGGGAGGAAAGTGAGAGGATTCACCAGAGACAGAGCAGGGAAAAGAACAGGCAGAGAGACCGAAATACACTGCCGAGGGACGCAGCAGGCCAGTCAGGTTTGCTGCGCCATGTGGGTAGCTCCCTGGCTGGCCGGGGGATGGAACTTGTGCTGCAGAGACTACAGACAGCCCCATCGGTTGCATCTCAACCCCTTGTGCCACCAGGGAGGCCCCGGGAGGTGCTATTCTTGAGAGAAATAAGCCAAAAAGTAAAGACACATATGAGATAGCTTCACTCATCTGTGGAAAATAAATACCCAAAAAATATTTACAGCCAAAATACTTGAATAAAACTTGAACAGGGTCATTTGAAGGTAAAGATGATCACCAGAGGGAACAGGGGAATGGGTGGAGAAGTTAGGGAGGGAGGCAGACAGGGGACTGGCCAGAGTGGTTTGGAAGAGGGGAAACAAGGGGTAGGGCAAGACCCATTAGGATTGTAGGAAAAAAAAACTTGCAACTATTTCAGCAAAAGGCTTTTAGTGCTACACATGTCAATGACATATCGAGGAGGGAAAATAAGTAAAAGAATAAGAAAAAAAAATTTAAGAAGCTTTAAAACAATTAAAAAAAAATGAAATTTCCCAAAGGTCACACATGGTGTTCTCAAACATGGCAGGAAATTTCGGAGAGTGTAACTGGACTGGAGAGCAACTTAGAGTGTAGTGAGTGTCACTAGAAATGCATTCAGACCACACCAAGGAGAAATGCGCAGGAGCAGTGGAAACAACGGCCAGAAAAAAAGACTCTGAATAGTCTACTGGGCACCTTCGGTTTGCAGGCCACCTGAGAGAAAGGCAGGGGCAGTTATGTAAGGATTCCCCACTGGACTCAACGGCACACATGCCAAGACTGATGCCTGCATGAAAGTCTCCGAGAGTTGTGCAGGACACAGTATATTTTAGCTACTGCACAAAAATCTTAAAAATTCACTTGGGGCCTCCTGGGGGGAGCAAGGGTTTGAGCGTTGGGTTGTGAAGCTGCCCCCAGCCTCTGCAGCGCCAGTTCAATCGCCAGCGAGGGTCCGACATGGCACACAGACCTCTCCTGCTGCACGCTGCTCCCCTCAGCAGTGTACTTTGGTCCTTCTGCCTGCTCTGCTCCCGGCTCTGGCGAATTCTCTCACCCTCCTGCGCTTTTGACTGTACCCAGTGCATGTATAAATAAATAAATCTTGAAAAAAAAATCAGTTGTCCTTTTTAAAAGACATGTGACTCCTTCACCCCCATTCTGCACTCAGGTCCTCCGGCCCCGTCCCCTCCTCCCTCACCCCGCACCTGACCAGCGCAGAGCTGGGAAGTGTTTCTCTCCAGCGGGGTGAAGAGCCACAGTCCACACCTTCAGTGTCATCAACCGCGACCCAGGTACAGACTCTGACTCAGCGCTGCATGAGCACCAGGGCAGAGCCCCATCTTCACACATGCTGGACATGTGAAGTGCCTGGATCTACGCCACATGTTTCCCTGGTGAGGAATGTGTCCCTGCAGAAAACTATGTTTCTAATGCACATGTCCGGTGATGAACTCACATAAAGTCAATGCACCACAAGCTAAAGCAAACACAGCACTCACCAGAGATTGACCCATTGTCGCTGCTCTCACAGATGCGCGAGGGCTCTGGAGGCAGGCGCTGGGAGAGGCGCTGGGGTCCAGCACAGAGGACGGAGGCAGCTGCACGGGGTCCAGGAGTCTCCTGTCCAGAGTCCGCCACATGCTGCCTGGAGACACCAGAGAGACACTGCGGGTGATGGCCGTGTGACACTTCTAGCAGGGGCAGGAGACGCCCCGCGAGTCCATGAGTGGCAGAACCTGGGTTGAAGGTTCACCATAAGTTAGTAAAAGGTGACACTTCCCACTGCCTGATCAACAGTCACGCCAAGAACAACCGTCTCAAAGCTGAGGAGTCACTTCAGAGTGTGGACACGATTTCCAACGAGACGACGCCCCGAACACACTGTTCTGCCAGGACACCCCGGCAGTGGCTCCGCGCCGCTTCCCGCCCTCCTCTCCGTGGACACCCCAACAGGGATGCAGTCCCCCCTGGGTGCGCACCTCCAGGAGGGATGCCAGAGTGCAGCAGCCAGCAGGACGCCGCCTGGGGGCGGGAATGCGGAAACGCGCCCGGAAATTCAGACAACAAGCCTCAAAGCCCCAGGAACCACCCCCCAACGCCCTGCAAACCCAGTTTCCCGGGACCTCCCCGCATCCACAGGGGCGCCTCCCCCTGGAAACCTGAGTGAAGTCACCCGCCCACCTTGGGTCCGTGAATCTGGCCCCGGGCGCAATACCCCCCCCAGAAACGCAGCCTGGTCTCCTCTCCCTCACCGCCCGACTTTTGGGGGGAACCAGAGGAGTCAGTGCGCATGCGCACAGCCGGACCCGTGCTTCCCCAGGGCCCCCGCCTCGGGGACCCCGTGCCCCGCCCCGGGAAGACCCCGGGCAGCGTCCGGGGTCAGGGCCGGGCGGCCGCGCCGGGGACACCCCGGAAAGGCCTGGACGTTCTCCCCAAACGCCCTGCCCCGCCCCCACGCGCGCTCCGGGGGGAATCGGCTCCAAAGCGCCCGACTCCACGCGGCCTGGGCCCCCGCTCGCCCGCGACCCCCGCCCCCCAACCTCCCGGCGTCTCCGCTCAACCGAGCCCGGCCTCCCGGGACAAACCCGCGCTCACCAAGGGGCGCCCCAGCGCTCGCGGAGGCGCCAGAACATTCGGGAGGACGGGGGCGGGGCCGCGCCTACGCAGATCGCGGAAGCCCCGCCCAGAAACCTCCGCGGGAACCACAGAGGCTGGAGACTACATTTCCCACAACCCCTTGCGCAGCCCGTCGGGCCGTCGTCGGGGTGGGGTTGCGGCCGGGAAGTGGGAGGAGAGGAGGTTGAGGAGAACCGGCAGTTGGGCGAGGCCCATGAAAACTGCAGGGCCCATAAAGGGTTCAGGGTTCTGAGGGAAGAGGCACAACAGGGCCGCCCTGGGGCTGAAGGGGTTAAGCACCGCGCTGACTGACAAGCTATCTGCCCCCTCCACAGCAGGGAGCCTCCCACAGGGCTTGGCAGACCTCTCCCTTCTTGCCCACTGCTCCCCTCAGTAGTGTATTTCAGTCAGTCGGCCTGTTCTATGCCCCACTCTGTCTCTGGTGAATCCTCTCTCTCTCTCTCTCTCTCTCTCTCTCTCTCTCTCTCTCACACACACACACACACACACATACACACACACACCCCTTTGACCTGCACCCCAGCTCTTGTATGAATAAATTTTAAAAATAATGTAAAAAGTTCACATATAGTCTAAATAAGACATTCAGATACCAAGACACATTTCATCAAAACCAACATTCAGGTATTTAAGAAGCATCTTGACCTGATATCTGGATCACAGTGTCGGTGTTCAACATAAAGATGCTTTGCTTAGCTAATGTGAATGAACAAGAATTCTACACTGTTATGAAAAGCTCACCTGCTCTTTCATCACATGCTTGTGAAGATTTCTTTTGGCAACAACGTCCGATAATATTCATGGCTCCATTACTACCATGAAGAAACATGAGGATATTAATAAACTGTTAGGGTATTCCCTGAAGGAGAAAATGATGAAATGAGTTGAACTTCAGCACGTTTCCGTGTCTAAGTTTTATGCCCACAATGAAGTCCACGACTCTGGGTGATTTAGATCAATCTTTTCAGTCAGACACAAACAGCATATCCATTTAGATTTTCTTCATCCATGATACATGACACCATCAGTAATGTACCCAAGCAATTAAGATGTAAAGAAACTCATCAACTGGAGAGGGTCCCTTAGATGTTTGACACACGAAAGTCAAATACATGACTCCACCTACATCCCTTAGATGTTTGACACATGAAAGTTAAATACATGACTCCACCTACATACCAGGAGAAAGCCATAGAGTGAAGTGATTTAGGGCTGAATTATATTCATCAGGTCTCTTCACAATATCTCAAGTATGGTTGATAAAAAAAGGACAGAGAAAATAACTATACAGGGTCCCAAACCATCGTCTTGAACTCTTATTTATTTTTTTAAAGATTGATTTTATTTATTTATGCATACAAGAACAGAGGGGTAGGCCAGAAGTGTACGGGGTGAGAGGATTCCCCAAAGACACAGTGCAGAGCAGAACAAGCAGATTGAAACACACTGCTGAGGGGAGCAGCAGATAAGTCAGGAGAGGTCTGCTGTTTCATGTGGTCAGCTCCCTGGCCAGAAACCAAACGATAGCTTCATAGTGCTGTGACTTAACCCTCTGCACCACCAGGAAGGCCCTCAGACTTTTCAGTTATGCTAATATTTAGTGTTTTAATGTTGGCTTATGCTCCATAACAATTTTCTAACTTAAGGAATGTAAAGTGTTTCTCACTTCCTAATGTATTGCAATATCTTAATATGAATCTAAATTACATTATAAATTACTGAATCATATTTTCACTTCTTTCGAGTTTCCAGTATGAAAATCCGGTGGCTTCAAAATTCATATTTGGACAAACCACTCATCACTTTCCATTTACACTTTCTCTTGGTTTGCACTCTCTGATGTTTAGGATGATCTGACTTCTGGTTAATCACTTTGACACTTCTGGTTAAACTTCTGGACTTCTGGTTAAAGACACCAAAGTTGGGACCTCACTGGTGGCACAAGGGGTTAAGACACAACCCATGTAGCTATACGCAGCCACTGCAGTACGAGTTGGATTCCAGGTCAGGGAGCTACCCACATGGTGCAGCAGACCCCTCCTGTCTCGCCTGCTGCTCCCCTCAGCAGTGTATTTCAGTCAATCCGCCTGTTCTGTTCCCCACCCTGCCTCTGATGAATCCTCTCACACACCCCCCACCTCTGGCAGATACCCCAGTTCTTGTATGCATAATAAAATAAATCTTGAAAAAAAGAGACTAAAGTAAAAAAAATTGACTTCACAATTTTAGCATTTCTCTCTGATGTGAATTCTCTAATGTAGAGTAACACTTAACTTGCGGTGAAAGGCTTTGCCACATTCTTCACATTTGTAAAGATTCTCCCCAGTATGAATTCTGTGATGTTGACTTAAATGTGATGAATGGTAGAAGGCTTTGCCTACATTCTTCACATCTGGAAGGTTTCTCCCCTGAATGAATTCTATGTTGTCGAGTAAGACGTGACTTATTGTTAAAGGCTTTGCCACATCCTTCACAATTGTAAGGTTTCCCCTCAGTATGAATTCTGTGATGCTAAGATAGTTAAAGGCTGACAGTTGGTTAAAGCCTTTCCACATTCCTCACATCTGTAAGGTTTCTCCCCAGTATGAACTCTCCTATGTCGGGAAAGGTGACACAGCACAGGAAGGTGTTACCATAATCAGGACTCGTGTAGGCTTTTCTCCAGCATGAATCCTTAGATGGTTAGTCAGCTGTGGATGCCAATACAAGGCTTTACCATGCTCTTCACACTTGTGAGGTTTCTCTCTGTGATGTTCAGTAAGTCTTGGGCACCATTTGTTAGCTTTGCCATATCCTTTACAATTGTAGAGTTTCTCATGAAGTACATGATGCTGGAAAAGTATTGAGGACTTTTCAATAGGATCCTGTGTAGATTTTTCATCTTTGAATCCACTCCCACTTTTGTACCCACAACCAGTGTCCCTACCTCTTCAGTACCCTCACTTTTGCAGTCTTAATTCTCGAGTTCATTTTGGTTTGTATTTTCAGTTTCTTTGCTTTGTTTCTCCATATTCCAAACAGGAGTGAATTCATCCAGTAAGTCTTTCCCCTGCTGATTCATTTCTCTGAGCATCATCCTCCCCCAATATTCCATCCTTGTCGTTGCAAATGGCCAGATGTATCCTTTTTCAGTAGTGTTCCACCCAGTGTATATACCACACCTTTCTTTAGAATTATTTTTCACCCCTGTTTGTCAACTCCGGTTCCTGATTTTATACCATTATTTTCCTTCCAGTTGCAATTGGGGCTTGAACCCCAACTTAATCTTATGTTTTCCTCTTCTGCATTCAGTTCTGTCTTTGTGTGCTGCACACATTCAGGTCCTCATGTTAGTGCATGTGTTATATTACAGTGCTTCCCAATACATGTAGTTTTCTGTTATGTTCTTGGGGCATTCTTTTCATCCTGTGAGGCTTTAAACTCAGATCATATAATTCTGATATTAGTGTGATCAACGTGACTCCATGGATCAGTTTTCATAGAATCTAGTTCCAACCTTACGTTCTACATGGTGTGCTGATGTCTGTGTTGAGTTTCATATAGGTAAGATTGAATTGGTCTTATTTTTAATTCCTTCAGACATATTTGTCATTTTCATGTGGACTTTAATTTACACACAAAGTATTTCTGAAAGGAAGGCATTAACTTTATTAAAAAATGATTCCTGTATTCTCAGCCATTTTATACCTCATTTCCTCCCTAGTACAGCTCTGTATTATTCCTCTCTTCCTTTCTTGTGGGTGATTTCCCTCCATTTGCTCTCATTTTATATGCTAATTGAGGTATACTGGTTTGTAATCTTATTTACAAACATTGTAAAAAGCATTGTCACCCAACCTGTTACATATGACATCATTCTCTGTTTTCATTTCCTTTTCCATGTATTTTATACTGGTATCTTTTTTGTCACATGGGGATTATATATCATGTTGAAAAGTTATTCAGCCTTATCTAAACTGAAAACAATTACATTCAACTGCATACCAAAACCCAACTGTTTAACATTTCTAAGTTCTCAAGCAGAAACAGTATTTTTGCTATAGGATTGTATCATGCCTTTTTCTCTGTTTGCTATGTATTTACCTTTCCCTGAGGACATCACCTTTTATAAGCATGTGTGTTGCTGTCTAGTGCTCATGTTACCTGTCTAACATCAGGCCGGGGGTCTTTATTTGGTATTAATTTTGTCTATAAAATAGTTAAAATATTTTATTTTGTCTTGAGTGCTCTGAGTGCGGTAATTATTCCTTGCTGTCTCCCAGCCATGTCTTCTCAAGACAACCAGGACTGCATACCACAGTCAGGCACAGAAGATTTATTCCTAAATGTGGGACCGGGAGGAGATGGAATCGACACCTTTGAGAATTTAGAATTATTGAAAGATCAGACATGTCAAGAGACATGTGAAGGGCACAACAGTTGTTGCGATGAAGGTGGTCGAGCAGCGACAATTATCCATAGTAAAATTTCTCCTGCAAAAATGATCCAGTGTGTAAACCATGTTGGGTAAAACTCCATTTTATGTGTGTTGCATGTATATATAAATATGTTTCTGTTAGCAAAGATCCATGTGGCATTTTTACCAATACACGTTCTCAGAGAGGAATATTGGAACATACGGGAAGTCCCCTAGTCCATAATGGAAATGATTATTCAAAACATTGTCACCATGGGGTAGGTTTAAACTTTGTGTCAAATCATTCTCAACATCAGAGAATTAGAAAGGAAGATGAAAAATCTACACAGGATCCTATTGAGGAGTCCTCAAACCTTCTACAATATCAGACAATTGGTAAGAAACCTTACAATTGTAAAGATTATGGCAAAGATAACACATGCTGCTCCAGCCTTAATGAACATCAGAGAAAGAAACGGCGTAAATGTGGAGAGCATGGTAAAGGCTTTTATTGGCATTCACAGTTGACGCGACCTCTAAGAAGTCATACTAGAGAAAAGCCTTACATATGTCCAGACTGTGGTAAATCCTTTCTATA